GGTACTTAACAACAACAACAACAACATAGAGATGACGCTGGGGATTACATGACAGATTGCAGATAGAATAGACAGGAATCAAAGTGACAACAACATCTGCGGGAAAAATAGATGAAGAAACTTCCTCTCATCAACAAAAGCAGGCCAGGGGCAGACGGTGGAACAGACCAGCAAACGCTCCTAGTCAGGTTCAGGCTGAAGCTGAAGGAAATGATAAGTCCACAAAATCCCAAATATGGCCTTGAGTGTATCCTACCTGAATTTAGAGATTATCTCAAGAACAGATTTGATGCACCTGACTGAAGACCAGGAGAGTTGTGGGTTGATACCAAGAAAGAACATCATACATGAAGAAAGCAACAGGTCATTAGAAAGACAGGGGTAAAAGAAAACACCAAAACGGATGTCAGAAGAGACTCTGAAACTTGCTGTTGAATGTAGAGAGAAGCTAAAGCGACTGGAAAAAATGATGAGGTAAAAGAGGAAATTTCAAAGGGCAGCTCAAGAAGACAAAGTCAAGTATTATAACGAAATGTGCAAAGACCTAGAATTCGAAAACCCTTTTCATTCTTTTTGAGGAATATGTTCAGCATTTCTCAAGTTGAAATAACTGAAGAAACATTTCAAACCTGGGGTTGCATTATTAAAGGATTCTTAGGGCAAAGTATTAAATGGTGCAGGAAATCTCAAAAGAAGATGGAAGAAATGCACAGACTCACTGTGCCCAAAAGAACCGCTCCATGTCCCACCGTTTCCGGAGGTAGCCTCTTATCAAGAGCTAATGGTATGGAAGGAGGAAGTCCAAGCATCATTGAAGACGTTGGCAAACAACAAGGCTCCAAGAATTGATGGAATACAAATGGAAATGATTTGACCATTGATACAGTGCTGGGGGCAGTCACTTGTCTGTGCCAACAAATTTGGAAGATGACTGCCTGGCCAATGGATGGGAAGAGAACCATATTTGTTCCCATTCCAAACAAAGCTGACCCAATGGATTGCAGAAATCATTGAACAATATCATCAGTATCACATGCAAGTCAATTCTTGCAGAATTAAACACATGGTTGCCGCAGTACACCCATAGGGAGCTGCCAGATTCAGGGGACATGGGGACGTGGAACCAGGGCGATCACTGCTGATGTCAGATGGAGCTTGGCTGAAAGCAGAGAATACCAGAAAGACATCTATTTGTGCTTGATTGACTATGCAAAGGCATTTGTTGACATTGCAAAGAACAGGGATTCCAAAACACTTCATCGTGCTCATACGGAACCTGTACGTAGACCAAGGGGCAGTCGTTTCAACAGAACAAGGAGATACTGAAAGGTTTAAAATTAGGAAAGGTGTGTGCCATGTTGTACGCTTTCACCAGACAGATTCAATCTGTATGCTGAGCAAACAATGTGAGAAGCAGGATTATGTGGAGAGCGTGGCATCAGGGCTGAAGGAAAACTCACAGCAACATGAAATATACACATGACACAAGCTTGCTTGCTGAAAGTGAAGATTTGAAATACTGATGAAGATCAAAGACCACATCCTCCAGTACAGGCTACATCTCAATGTAAAGAAAACGAAAATCCTTACAACTGGACCAATAACTAACCTCACGATAAACACAGAAAAGATATCAACAATTTCGTTTTGCTGGGGTCTGAGTCGGTTCCGACTCATGTCCTGTGTCCACCACCACAGAGTCTACAGAGTAGTCTCATTGCTCTGAAATGCCCCGGGCTCTGTCTGTTCATTCCCCTGGACACACAGAATGTTGTTGGGACCATGACCAGCCCAGGAAGGAGCCCATTAAGGGGCGGTCCTGCCCCATTTCGGTAGCTGGAGGGCAGGGCATGAGAGGGCCAAGGGCTCAGATAGGGTTTCCTAGGAACAGCTGGTGAGCTTGAACCACCAACCTTGTGATTCAAAGTGACTTTGCAGTCCAGCGCATTAACCCACAGCGCCACACCAGGACTCTATGCTTGGTATAGTGGAGGGTCAGTGAAAAAGAGGAAGACCCCCTACAAATGGATTGACACAGTGGCAGCAAGAGTGGGCTCAGACACAACAACTGTGAGGATGGCAAAGGACTGGACAGAGCATTCTGTTGCGCACGGGGTTGATATGAGTTGGACCCAAGTGGACAGCAGCCAGTAACAAACAGCAATGACACTGGGCCAAGTGTGACTCTGAGACACGTTCTCTGCGGCCATCCACCAATCGCAGAGCCGTTTAAACACATCCTGTTTAATAAACATGCACTATAAACCCAAGCAAGTATAATCCGGAACGCCAGTAGCAATCCTTTCTGACTGACCCTAGGACATCATGTCCTGTGTCCACCACCACAGAGTCCACAGAGTAGTCTCATTGCTCTGAAATGCCCCGGGCTCTGTCTGTTCATTCCCCTGGACACACAGAATGTTGTTGGGACCATGACCAGCCCGGGAAGGAGCCCATTAAGGGGCGGTACTGCCCCATTTCAGTAGCTGGAGGGCAGGGCATGAGAGGGCCAAGGGCTCAGATTCCTGGAATGAACCCCCACCTCCTCTACTTCATCCTCCACCCCATCTGTTGGGGGAGGGGTTGTCCCTCCACAAAGGCCCAGATGGTGACCAGGAGGGCTCTCCACTGGCCCACCACCCACAGTGAGGCCTGAAGGCATAGCCCATCCCATCCCACTCAGCAGGGAGACAGGTGGGCAGGAGGCTGACCTCCCTGCCTGTTTCCAATCTGACCCTTCTGGGCTTGCATCCTGCCCAGGCCAGCGTTCCTGGGCCTGCCCTGTGAGGCTCAGCTCCCCACGTCCCCGACAGTGTGTGTGTAGAGGGCTGTTCAGTGAGGAGCAGGTGCCATCCTCACAGGGAGCACGGACGGGGTGAGGAGTCTCCCTAAGGGGCTGCCACGGGGCAGGAGGAGTTCGGGTGGTGAGACGGTTAAGCTCAGATGCCGACTGAAAGGTAAGCAGTGCCACCCCATCATTCACCCCACGGGAGAAAGACGAGGCAGTCTGCTTCATAAAGATTTACAGCTTGGAACACGCCTACGGCGGCAGTTCTATTCACACCTACAGTGCCACTGTGAGGCAGAAACCATTTCTAGGAGTCCTGGTCAGATCTCCTGGCTCCCCAACAAGGAGCCATCTCTGGGCTTTGCACAGAGCTGTCAGGGAGGAAGGGTGCTCATGGGCTTGTTGTTGATAGGTACGGTCGACTCGGTTCCAACTCATAGTTACCCAACACATAACAGAATGAAACACTGCCCAGTCCTGCACCATCCCACTGCTCTTGCAACTGTGCCACTTTACCAAGCACGATGTCCTTCTCCAGGGCCTGCATCCCTCCTTTTAACACATCCAAAGTTTAAGAGATGAAGTCTTACCATCCTAGCTTCTAAAAATTCTATTCTTCTTCCAACACAGATCTGTTTATTCTTTTAGCAGTCCATGGTACTTTTAATATTCTTCTCCAACATTGTAACTCAAATGCATCAAATCTTCTTTGGTCTTCCTTATTCACTGTCCAACTTTCACACGTATATGATGCTATTGAAAATGGCATGGCTTGGGTGCGAAGCACCTTAGTCCTCAAACGGACATCTTTGCTCTTGAACACTTTAAAGAGGTCTTATGCAGGAGATTTACCTAATGCAATACGTGGGCTGATTTCTTGACAGCTGCTTCTATGAGTGTTGACAGTGGATCCAAGCAAAACGAAGTCTTTGACAACTTCAGTCTTTTATCTATTTTCATGCTGTTATCTATCGGTCTAGTAGTGAGGATTTTTGTTTGCTTTACATTGAGATGAAATCTATACCGAAGGCTGTGCACTTTGATCTTTGTCAATAAGGGTTGTATCATCAGCATATCACAAATTATCAGTCTTCCTCCCATCCTGATGGGGTACTGAGTCTAGGCAGCTATGGGGGCAGTGAGGGGGTAGAGCTCTAGAGACCCTATTTATGGCCAGCCCAGGGCAGAGGGAGCCCCAGCCGCAAGTGCCTTCTGTCAGAAGACAAAGCCATGAGCACTCTGGACAGGACCTATGGTGTGGCTGAACTTTAAGAAGCCCTGGCCTCCAGGACTGAATATGGGGCCTCTGAGACCTGACTGGACCCGCCCAGCTCCTCTCCCCCCAGCCATGTCCTCTGCCCTCCCCTGCCAGGTCTCTGTTCCTGTGTTGAAGGGACAGCTGGGTGGGGGGGTGGCCAAGACCCAAGGTCCTCGTGCAGAGGACAGGCGTGGAGCCCACAAGCCCCATTCTGGACTGGCCTGATGGCTTGTGGGTAGTGGGGACCCAGACTCCACACCCATCCTCTGTGTGAGGACCTTGAGTCTTGGCCATCTGGCCTTCCTCTGGACACGTGTTCTTCGGAGGTTCTGGGGCCCCATGCTCCTTGTGCCTGATGGAGGCAAGGACTTCCTATACCCACCCTCACCCCACCAGGTGGTACAGGGTGGCAACAGTAAGCTGGTTCCCGTGGGGTGCTGTGGGTTGGATCTGGGGACTGGAGGGTGGGTAGGAGCAGGGCAGCTGGAAGAGGGGCTGTCTGTCCTCCCTCCTGGCCAGTGGGTTTTGGGGGTCTCCCTCCCCCCAAGGCTAAGACTGCTCAAGCTTGACCGTTAGAGTGGGTTTATTTTTTGTTGGGAAATGGAGGAGGGCAGAGTGGGAGGTCAAAGTGGGTGGTGCTATGAGGCAGGCACTGGCCTGGGCGGGGGTTGTCACATGGTTCTTCCACAGTCTCCAGAAGTAATCTTCCAGCCTGATGGAGAGTCAGGAACCAGAGGATGCAGGAGAGATTGGGGGAGGGAAGCTAAGAGAGGGAGAAGGTGGAAGACCTGGAGAGGGGAGAGGTCTGCCAGGGGCTAAGGGACAGGTCAGCAGCCCTGGGCCCTCAGGAAGTCCTCCCAGTCCCTCTCGAACCCCAGGCTGCAGCCCAATAGTCCCACTCTACTCTATGAGTGAGCCACCGGGAACCCAGATCATGTGTGCGCAAGTGTGCATTCAGTTGTGCATGGAGGTGTGCTTGTGGGTGACTGGGTATGCTTGTAGCGAGTGTTCTAAGCCAGTGCAGATGACCTGAGGTGTAGGGAGGAGGTGGTCCAGGACTCTGAGACCATACAGTGTGAGGATGAGGGAGGGGACAGGGATCTGGGGGTAGGGAGGTTGGAGGGAGGGGAGACGGGAGCGGGACACGGTTTGGGAGGGTGGGAAGGTGAAGAGGGCGGAGTTTGGGGCCTGGGGTGTACAGAGGAGGGAGGTGGTGGGCACCAGGGTCTGTGGTTGGGAAGTAGGGGGTGGGTCTGAGGGTTGAGGTGCGGGGACGAGAGTCTGGGAGTGTGGGGAGGAGGGTCTGTGGTTGGGAAGGAAGGAGTTGGGGATGAGGGTCTAGGGCGTGGAGAGGAGGGGGACAGGGACGTGGGAAATGGGAGACCGAGAAGGACTGGCCGCACCGACTCTAGCAGAGACTCGACGTGAGCCACGCCCACCCCAGCCCTCTGTCCCAGTCCCTGCCCGCGGCCCCATTACCGTTCAGCGCTGGGAAGACAATCTGCTCATCCGAGAGGCGGTGAAACCGGACCAGGCAAATGAATTTGTCCAGAGCTTCCGGAAGGAGAGTCCAGCTCCTGCCTTCGGTCAGCGGGCACAGCATTCTCAGCGAGCGTGGGGTTCTCGATGTCCCCTGGGGGCTAGCACAGGACCTGCCCGCCCAGTGACCTGAACTCCCCACCCCTGCAGCCCCCCGAGCTCACTCAGCAGGCTGACCCGGAGGATCTGGCGACCATTGGAGTTGCGGCGGGAGCGAATCAGGCCGAAGGTGGTGTAGTTGGTATCGGTCACCTGGACCTCCTCACTGTCTGCATGCAGGTCTGGGGGTGCAGACGGCGGTCAGCGTCCCTCCAGTCAGCGCTCCGCCCCATCCAGGCATCCGTCTCCCGCCGAGATCTCACCCCCTTTCTTGTCCACCTCGAAGTGTCCAGGCTGATTGGTCGGATTCAGTGTGTAAACCCAGGTGATGCAGCGCTGGCCCCTGGGGGAGAGCGGAGGGGCAGGGTGCCGATGGCAGAGGCTGGAAAAGTTCACTGTGGGAGGGAGGGAACCAGGCAGGAGCGATCCCTGCAAGGTGCCATGACCGCCTTCCAGAGGTGTGTGCTTGCCAGTGTCCCCCTCCCCACGAGTGAGGGCTGCATTCTCCCCTGGACGGTGTCAGTCCGGGAAGACCCCACTGCCACTTCCCCAGTTCATGACCGGAAATCCCCAAGGATGCATCATTGTAGTCACTGGTGGGATGTTTGGTGGTTGTTTCCCCTCGGGAGGACAATGCCTGCATCCACAGACGACGCTGCCCAAAGAGGTGCCCCAGCCAGCAGCAGGCGCTGGACTTGGCTGATGGAAGTAGGAACAGGCCCCAGAGGTGTGGTCAGGGGTGAGGGTGGGTTCAATCACCTTGCTTTGCCCACACTGGACCTCGGGGTCCCCAGAGGGACCAGCCTTTTCTGAGAGGCAGGGGGAGGAGCAAGCTACCCAGAGGGCTGTGGGTCCAAGTGTCCAAGCTTCATCTATCCCTGGCCCCTGCCTCTCTCCCTTCCCCACTGATCTGCCCTCTGCCCCAAATTGGGCTCCTCAGAAAATTATACCGATGATCTTGAGGACTAGCAGGTTAGCCAGCTGGCCCCAGGGCAGGGGCTGAGGATAGCCCCCTTCCCTCAGAGTCTGGATGATTCAGACCCTTAACTCCAGGAGCCAGCCGCCTGAGGGCTGCACCAGGAACCCCTGTGGTTCTGCCTCTGACTGGTAAACTGGGCACTACTTGAATCTAGGAATCCGCCCTAGGATAAGCACCGGACTGCTAACCCAAAGGTCATAGGTTCAAACCCACCAAATGCTCTTCGGAAGCTCTCTACAGACTCCTTCTGAGTGGGAACCTTCGTAATGACACTTCACAACAACACTTGAACCAAGTAGCCCTCGACAGAGGTCCTGTCGTCCTTCCTGAAAATCAGGGAGGCAGGTAAAGAAGGCCCCAGGCTCACCCATGGGAGGGGTGGAAGAGTCAGCTAAGCCCTCATGGTATTCGTGTCTCTATGAGGGGGCAGTCTCCCCCCTCCACAGTTCCCTGCGGTTCTCTATGTGGCAGGGAAGCATAGTGTTTACAAGTCGGGCTGTTAATCTCACCGTCAGCAGTTTGAAACTACCAGCCTTTCTGGGGTAGGAAAGATGAGGCTTTCTGCTCCTTCAAGATTTACAGCCTCAGAAACCCACTGCAGGGTCACTATGAGTCGGAACCAACTCCATCTGTGTGACACTGTAGGATAAGCACTGGACTGCTAACCCAAAGGTTAGCAGTTCAAACCCACCAACTGCTCCTCAGAAACCCTTACAGGGTCACTAGGAGTCAGAATTGACTCCACCGCACTTAACAACAATTCACCAAAAGTTTGCCTCTCCCCAACCAGGGTCGGGCTCTTCCTCCAGGCTGGTCAGTCAAGCATCAAGATGCAGATGGCGCACATGATTCAAGGAGAGCCACTCAGATCCCATTCCCATTCACTTTGGGATCAGGACTTTGAGCTTCGGGCTTCCTGCCATGTCTTATACAGAGTGGTGAGGACCCATCTGGACGGAGGTCAGGCTGGGGCAAAGTGATGGCCAGAGTCCCAGTCACAGCCTCTGATCTCCTGGATCCAGCTCTACCTGAAACCCATCAGAGAGACCAGTTTCCTCACTGGTAGCCACGGACAGTAAGCAGTGTGTTCAACCTGTGTAGCACCAGAAGGGCTTATGGGGGCAGGGCCAGGACCCCAACAACTCACCGGGTCATGGCGTAGGATGCTTGAAAGCTGTTCTCTAGTAGCTCAAAAGTAACCGTGTAAGGACTCAGCAGTTTCCTATCCTCATCCTTGAAGGTGCTCCCTGCCAGGCCGACCACGTACCATGCCCCCTGAAACTGTGAGGACTGGTGATGGGTGTGCTGGGACGGATGCTGGGCAGGCCCCTTCTGACCGTACTGCTGGCTGCCTGAGCCACTAGGTCAGACAGGAGGGGCCGCCCTGAGGCTGGCAAGGACAGGTGACCTGCGTGTCTGTTTCCCTGGGTGTCTGTCCAGAGTGCTGGAGACGGTCCTGTGTGATGGAGTATGTGACCCACGGAGGTCTGGCCAGGGTCCTTCCCTGTGGGGGTGGGAGCTCATCTGGGGGCTGGGTTGGAGCAGAGCTGGGGCCTTACTCCCTAGGTGCAGGGCCCATCCCCCGCTGCCCCCAAGCTGCCCCTCCCAGGGCCCAGTACCTGGTCCTGCTGGAAGTTCAGCAGCCTGCTTGTGAATAGGGGAATCCTGGTCTGGCCCTGTACAGTCCTCAACAGGACGGCCACCAACCACAGGGTGCAACATGTCCTCATGCTGGGTGGCTGTAGGCCCACGGGTGACCGAACGGACGAAGGTGGCAGTGATAGTGTGCCTCAAAGACACACCTCTTATGAGCCCTGGCCAACCACCATTGGTTGGGGGGGGGGGGGGGGATAAACAGAGTAAAGCGGGGAGAGGAGGGCCTGGGCCAACGGGTCAGGGGTAAGGGACAGTCTCCTCTTGAGTCCCAGTCCTAGGAACATAGTACCATGGTCTGTTAAGACAACCCACAGCGGGCATGTGGGTAGTGGAGCCTGGAGAACTCTCTTGCCCATCCCTCCACCCTCGGCTCCTGGGCCACACCTTGAGTCCCCTCCCTGCTGTCCCATTTGGATGTCTTCCTGGGAGCTTAGCTGCAGAGGGGTACCAGGCAGGGGATGGACCTGGGTCACCACCCGCCTTCCCTTCTCAGCCTGGTGCCCTGTTCTCTGGGACTGGGCTTGAGGTTGAGGAGGCTGTAGTGGGCAGGGCTGGGGGACCCCCTGATTGCTGGACCTGAGCTCACCTGAGTATACAAGTTTCTCCCAGGAAAGGAGCCATTGGGCAGAAAAATCTTGGAGGGGAAAGTAGACCAGCTGCATCTGGCGCCTAAGCCACGATTTCCAGCCCCACCCATGGTTTTGTGACTGCACATTGTCCTTTATTCATCTATCAGTGGCTAGAGCCCTGGGCACTGGGCTGCTCCCCCCCTCCCCGCCCCCATGTCCCCAGGTCCAGCACAAGGAGCACTTTAAGATCTTAGATCTTATCAGGTGATTTCCGTAGGGGACAGCTTTGATGGGGGGGGGGGCGGAGGCTGCCTGAGGGGACAGTGGGCGTGAGCAATAGTGACCTGGCAGTGGACTTTCAGGCTCACACCCACACCAGGGCCTGGCTGGTGCCCAGCACCACTTTGGGGGTGGCAAAGTGTGGGAGTGAGCTGGCCTCTGGCTGCAGCATGGGAGGGGGCATGGGTGGACAGGGCCTCTCCGGAGTCATCAGATCTCCTGCTGGAACCACTGGGACCTTCAGCCAGCTGAGAACACTGATGAGGTGGGGGGTGATGGGGAGGGCAGGTGTGTGCTCACAGCAGGGGCCTGGAACAGAGCCCGGAGTTTGCCCCATGAACCCCCGGACACAGGGAGAGGGCCCAGCCTCTGGACAGCAGTCCATGGGCTGTTGACCTGGAGGCTGGGTGGGGACAGGTGGAAGGGAGAGGGAATAGTGTGTGTGTGTGTAGGGGGGGGTCACAGATCTGGGAGTGTACTTTTTGTTTGTTTTAACTTCCCTAAACCGTATCAATTTCTTCTAGTATCAGGGTTTGTCCAGCTTTGGTCCTTGGTGAGGGACAGGCAGGTAGGCTGGGGCAACTTTGAGGGGTCCCTGTAGACATCCCTCCCAGTTTTCATCCCCACCCCTTCAGACTCCTGCTACTCTCCAGGTGGTAGTGCACCGGTCACCTGCCCTCCTCACCTCTGCTGCCCCTGCAGTGAACATCTGGGGACTGTCCCTCTAGTTCCATAGTCTGGATCAGAGGTCCCTCCTCTGTGGGTCTCCCTACTCCTAATCTGCTCCCCCAGGTTGAGGTACAGACTGCCAACCACACCTCTCTGTTCAAGCCCCCCTCAAAGGGGCACCCAGTGCCTTGGTTGGTCTTGCTCCACAGGGCAGGGTGGGGGTGGGGCCCAACGTCAGTGGGGAAACTGAGGCCGGGGGAGCTGGGGCCCCAGCACTTCTGGGCATTCAAGGGACCAGTACTTCACACCCACCCCACACTGGGGATGGGATGGGGTGGGTCTTCAACAGCCAGTCAACCAGCTGCTTCCCTTCCTGGCGCTGACAATGCCCAACTCTCTGTCTGGGCCCAGGGTGGGAAGAAGGGAGCCAGAGGTCCAGCCTGAATGGGTTTAATAAGAAGTCAACTTAGCCTCAATCAGGACAGAGAGGGACACGCCCGGGCCCCCAGTTCTGGACCCTGAGACAGGAGTGGCAACCGTCATTCGGGGGGCTTCTCGGGGTCTGCTCCGCCAGCTTCTCTGTGGTCTCACTGTCTCAGCTCTGTAGCACACAAGGGACCCACCAGACGTGCCAGCTCCCACGGCAGCACCTCAGGGCCCCACACTCACCCGCCCACCTGTGTACCCCCTCCCCACAGTCCCCTTACCATCCAGGACATGGAACTGGTCCGCAACCTCGCAGAAACCTGGGGACCCAAGGTAGGGTCAGGCAGGCTGGGTGAGCAGAGGCAGAGCTGGCCACTGGACGTGCTGGGGGCGGGGCGGGGCGTACTCACCGTACTTGGGGAAGAAAAAGATACTGTCTTCTGTCAGGTTGGCGCTTTGGACTCGCTGTTCAAACTCGCTCAGGACTAGGTCACTCACGGGCAAGGAGCGGGCTGGAGGGAAGCATGGACACTGGAGACTCAGATCTCTGTGGGTCAGGGCTGGGGGCACCCTGAGCAGGACCTCAGGGTTGGAGTGTCAGGGTTGGGGGCTGGGATCGGGGTGTTGGAGTTGGGGGCGCCAGGGGCAAATCTGCACACATGTCTGACTGGGAGCAGGACTCGGGCCTCTCGGGTGGACAGTGCGCTGCATGGACTCAGAAGGTCAGCGTGGATGTACGCACCATACAGCTTCAACGAGAGCTTGCGTGCTCGCTCTAGGTACAGGATGGCGAAGTCCCTGTAGTCCGTCTCCCCAACAACCACATCCACAGCCCCCCGGGCGCCTCGGGCTGGGGGCAGAGCCACGTGAGCACCAGCTTCCCTTTACTCCCACCACCCCACCTCCACACCACCCGGCCTCTGCTGCCCTCACCTTGGAGCAAGAGCCGACCAGGGATTCCTGTGTCTCTATAGAGCTGACGTATCTGCCAGCAGATCCCATCCCTTCAAGGGGGAGGAGGGGGTTGAGGAGAGCGGGTACAGCAGGCGTGGGGGACCCCTGACCCGGGAACACCTAAGACAGGGTGCCACTGACTGCCGGTCCAGACCCCAGGCTGAGAGGTAGCGCAGCTGGGTCAGGGGAGGCCCAAGGCGGAGCCTGGAGCCAAGACTCACAGCTTCCGGAAGGTGCTGACGGCCAAGGATTCTCCCTGGGGAGTCACATGCAGAGCCGTGGCCTCTGTTTGGTGGCTCTGCTCCTGCAGGAAATGACAAGTGGAGGCCACAGCCACGAGGAACCATGTCCCTGCAAACTGATGACGGTGGTCTGTGAGAGAGTTCTGGGGTCACCCGGACATGGGGGTGCCCAGGGCTCAGCGGCTGCTCCCCCACCACTACCTGCTGGGCGTTGAAGTTGGCCTTGGGGTGGATGGCATTGATGGGGTATGCTGGTCGAGGGGGTCTCTGTGCCCTCCGGCCCAGTGAGCCGGGGTTCAGGGCCAAGATCAAGAGGAGCGTGGACTTGGGAGGTAGCATGGTGGTGCCAGTGGCAGCAGAGCCTGGACTGAGCTTGGCCGAGGTCTGGGAAGGTCAGAGTCCACCGTCCAGGCCTGACCAGGAGTTCAGCTTGGGAGAGGGTGTCAGGTCCAGCTGTCCTCTGTCTCCTGTATGCCCACACTGGACCAGGGTCCACCAGGACATCTGACCTGGATCAGGCACTTCCCGGCAGGGACAGCTGCCCAATTCCTGCCTACAAAATCTGAGTTGGCCCCTGGTCATTGTCCATGCACACCTGGACCCTCCACTTCCTACTGATGGCCTGTGCTCAGTCCTTTAAACCGCCAACAGGGCTGTCGACAGGAACTGGTTTCATCCTTGGCCAAGGAAACTGGGTTGGAGAAAGAAGCCCTTTGCCTGGCGTCTTCCAGCGGTAGACGGGTCTCGAACTAGTCCACAGGGTGGTGTCTCGCTCACGGCCCCACCCCTCCCGGCCGCCAGGGGCGCTGTTCCCCTAGGACTTGAGCGCGCGCAGGCGCATTGACCGCAGACGCGGGCTGCGGGCTTTCGGCGCTCAGCGGCCATCGATGTTTCTGGGCTCGTGGCGTCGGGCCTGCCGGTCCCATCACCTACGCGCGGCGGCCTGAGCGGCGGGGCAGGAGGAGGAAGCGGGTCCGGAGGCCGAGCGAGGGTCGCAGCTGGCGGGAGGCGGCCACGGTAAGTGGTCGCGTCGGGGCCGGGGAGAGAGCCAGAGGGCCGCCCTCGGGCTGGTCGTCCCGAGACGCTGTCCGCACTGCCGTCCGCGGAGGGGGTCAGCGGGCCAGTCGCACACCCTGGCCGCCGGAACGCCCGGCAGTTGGTGGGGGGCCCGTGGCGTCCGATCGGGCCCCCGCTCAGGCCCCGGTGCTTTCAGAGCCGCCTAGGACAGAATGTCGCGATGGACGAGGGGGGCACACTCCTGCTCCCCGACTGCCTGCTCTATCAGATCTTCCTGAGCCTGGGCCCCAGCGACGTGGTGGCGGCGGGACAGGTGTGCCGCCAGTGGCAGGCCGTGTCCCGGGATGAGTTCCTGTGGAAGGAGCAGTTCTACCGCTACTACCGGGTGGCCCGCGATGTGCCGCGACACCCAGGTCCGTGGGCGCCCCTGGGCGGGGGGCGGGCAGGGGGGCGGCGCCCCATCACGCCTGCAGTGACCCCTCGTCCGCAGCCGCCGCGTCCTGGTACGAGGAGTTCCGGCGGCTCTACGACACGGTGCCGTGCGTGGAGGTGCAGACGCTGAGGGAACACACGGACCAGGTCCTGCACCTGAGTTTCGCCCACTCGGCCTCGCAGTTCGCCTCCTGCTCCAAGGACTGCAGCGTCAAGGTGAGCGCCCGCGGGACGGCGGGGCGGCGGGGCGGCGGGGCGGAGGGGCGGCCGGGCGGAGGGGCGGAGCCAGAGTCCCGAGGGGCGTTCCATCTGACCCGCTGGGGGTGCCCCCGTCCCCGCCCAGATCTGGAGCAACGACCTGGTGGTCTCCCTGCTGCACAGCGCGGACATGCGGCCCTACAACTGGAGCTACACCCAGTTCTCCCAGTTCAACCAGGACGACTCGCTGCTGCTGGTGTCCGGCGTGTTCCTGGGGCCCCACAACTCCTCCTCCGGGGAGATTGCCGTCATCAGTCTGGGTGAGGCCACTCTCCCCGCCACCTGCAGCCCCCCACGGCACGGCCGCCCCGCCGCCTGCCCTGACCCGCTCCCGTCCGCAGACACCTTCGCCCTGCTGTCCCGCGTGCGCAACAAGCCCTACGACGTGTTTGGCTGCTGGCTCACCGAGACCAGCCTCATCTCCGGGAACCTGCATCGGATCGGCGACATCACCTCATGCTCCGTGCTCTGGCTCAACAACGCCTTCCAGGTGGGGGCGAGGCAAGGGGGAGAGGGAACCACTTACACCCCCCACCCCGCACTGTGTTTATCGCCTCTGCCCCCCCAGAACGTGGAGTCCGAGAATGTGAACGTGGTAAAGCGGCTTTTCAAGATCCAGAACCTCAACGCCAGCACCATCCGCACCGTTATGGTGGCCGACTGCAGTCGCTTTGACAGCCCTGAGCTGCTGCTGGACACTGGCCGCCCAGCCCAGAGCTCCTGCCGAGTGTTTGACCTGGGGGAAGGCAGCAGCAGTGAGACCACGGGCCCAACCCCGGCCAAGGAGGGTCTGCGGCACTTCCTTGACGACATCTTGGATGGGCATGTGCAACCCACACTGTCCGAGAACATGCTGGAGACCAGAGTGGCCAAGCTGCTGGCCCAGGGCCGTACCAGGCCTCCTGAGCCAGTGGCCGGCGACAGTAAGAAGTACCTCATCTTCACCACGGGCTGCCTCACCTACTCACCGCACCAGATCGGTAATGAGGCCCCAGGAAGTGAGCCAGCCTGCCACCCCCCTCCTTGGCCAGTCTCAGGGGTCTTCCTCCTTTTTAAGTGTTGTCCCAGGGTACAGGCCTATCCCTGGTCCCTGAAGCATACATTGGGGGGAAGGGGGGTACAGACTGGGCACAGGGGTCGTGCGTGGAGGGATTGTCTCATTCAGCTCAGGGGCTGCGGGACAGGTGGCCCCAGGGTGCCCTCACACCCTGGTCCTTGCAGGCATCAAGCAGATTCTGCCGCATCAGATGACGACAGCAGGGCCGGTGCTGGGGGAAGAACGGGGCACGGACGAGTTCTTCGACTCCCTGGACCACGTCATAGATGTACACGGGCATGTCATCGGGATGGGCCTGTCGCCTGACCACAGGTGAGTCCAGAGAGGTGGGCAGAGCGCAGCTCGGGGAAGGGGAGTGGCGGCCCCCATCCATGCCGCGTTCCCTGGCCAGGTACCTGTACGTGAACAGCCGCTCCTGGCCCAGTGGAGCCGTGGTGGTCGACCCCTTGCAGCCCCCGCCCATTGCTGAGGAGATCGACCTGCACGTGTTTGACCTAAAGACCATGCAGGAAGTGAAGCGTGCCCTGCGTGCCCACCGCGCCTACACACCCAATGATGAGTGCTTCTTCATCTTCCTCGACGTCAGCAGGGACTTTGTGGCCAGGTATGTGCAGGGTGCTCACGGGCAGGCGGGCGGGTGCAGAATAAGGGCATCTCACCTGGCTGCCCTCCACAGTGGGGCGGAAGACCGGCACGGCTACATCTGGGACCGCTACTACAACATCTGCCTGGCCAAACTACAGCACGAGGACGTGGTCAACTCAGTGGCCTTCAACCCCCGCGAGCAGGACTTCCTGCTGACTGCCAGTGACGATGCCACCATCAAGGTCTGGCGGTCCCCTCGCACCATGCGTGCTCTCCAGGCCCCACGCCCACGCCCACGCCCCTTCTTCTCCTGGTTTGCTAGCCAGAGGCGCTGACAGACGCCTTTGGTGGTGACACGGAGCTAGTCGGCAGGGGTAGCAGAAACTCTGCTGTCCTCCAGCTGCTTGGACCCAGGCGGTGCCATCGTGGGCCCTCTTCCTCAGTGGAGCCACTCACTGCACAGGCGTGGGGGTGCCGGAGCCCACCACATGCACGGGCATCCCACCTCCCCGCCGTGACACGTGGCACTGAAGGCTGCTTGCCCTGCCACACCACAGACTGCACTTTTGCCCACGCCTGTGAAGGGACTTGACATGTTGGGTGGCCCGTCCGCCAGGACCCTCTGGCTGCACACTTTGCGCCATGCTGGCTGACAAGCTCTCTGCTGGTTCACAGGGCAGCAACACTACCGGATCCCACTGCCCTGGGCCCAGGCCCCTCCTCTGACCACCTAGCTCGGCCAACAGCTGGGGGAAGAGCAGGCCCGTCTACCACAGGCGCAGGCCTGTCCAACGCACTAGAGTGTAAGTGTGTCCACTTGGTCACTTGTCACCTGTTCTCTGAATAAACCGTTGACAACAGCCTCCCACCCCATCTCTGTGCTCTGCCTCACGGTCCCCATTTGACATAGGTGAAGGGAGACCTGGGCCAAGGTGGCCGGCTGGTCTGTCCCCAGCCACTGACCCCATGGCCTCCCTGGTAGTCTGTCACAGGTCGTGGGTTGGGGCTGGCAAGGAGGGGGAGCCGAGCCCTTGAGAACATGGAATTAATTAGTTACGCCAACCCTACTGTCGTGAGGACTTACTGTCCAAGAGGACACACAATTAGAAACTGCAGAAGGAGACATGTAGAGTGAAATTCAGAGCAAACAAAACGGTGACCTGGACACTACTTAGCAAAGAGATGAATGTGAACATGAGAGAAAGGCTGCCAGTGAGCCCACAGGGCAGACCTGTCCACCTGAGGGCTGACAGGAGGGCAGCGGCAGCAGCAGAGATGTGTGTAAAGGGTCAAATGACAGACAAAAATCTTCAAGATGCAGAAGTGGCGCCCTCGCTGGTGCAGACTGTCGAGGAGACGCCTCGGGCTGTGGGGCTGCTGAGAGGGAGGAAGCTGGCTTCCCCAGCCCCTCTGCTGGGCACAAGGCTGGGCAGTGACATAAGAACTGGACAAGTGCATGGGAGGAGGACAGCCAGATCTGAAATACTAGAGCAGGATGGGTGGTGTGGACCCTCTCCTCCCTCTGGGAACCTGTCTGAACCGGATATAGCACCTGCAGCTGTGTGCTCGGCCCAGAGAAAGCTCTGGATGAAGCCTGGCAGCGCAAGGAGTGGAACCGGAAGCTCCCAGTGCTCAGTGAGTGTGGAGGTCTTGGTTTTCCCTGTTCTTTTGCCCCCAGATGACCCCGTGGTGGCCGTGGAGACTCATGAGAACTTTCTTCACTGCTCAGTGAAGCTGCAGTTCTAGAAGGAAACCAATCCCCATTACTTTCCTCTCTAACCTGTTAGTGGACCCAGGACAGGGTAGACAGCTCCAGGTTTCTTGCCAAAGGGCCAGAAGGTGCCAGGAACTAGCAGGGAGACAGCGGAGTGAGAAGAGGCGTGCACGTGGATTGCAAGGTTCTCCTTCAGCCTGCATGTTCATGGATATGACCCTAATGACCATACCTGTCACTCGAGAACTTTCAGAAGGAAGACGGGAAGAAGGTATGTGGGACCAGTCCCAAGAGCAGTGAGCACTGAGCTCGAATCCCGGTCCATTCTAACAGGTTGACATGCAGCCTGAACTAACATGATCGTGTGTTGGTGAGACCAAAAAACCAGCATTCTCCAGAGGACTCAAAGACCCTGAGCCTCATAAAGTAATATTCAAAATGTCTAGGCTAGACTCCTGAGTCCTGGTGTGATGCTGTAGGATTTTGAGCTAGAGCACAAGGTCGCTTCGATCTGCAAGCTCAGCGGTTCAAATCTACCAGCTGCTCCTCGGAAACCCTGTGCGGGTCTCCTAGGAGACAAAACAGGCTTGACCTTTAACAACCAGAAGGATAGAATCCAAAATTACTAGGTACACAAAGGCAACCCAAAAAGAAAAAAAAAACAAAGAAAAAAAAGCAAAAAAGAAGAAAGCCCCTCAAAAACAACAAACAAGAAAAACCGGGGAAAAACGAGAACTACAAGTATCTCAGCAGAAAACCAACAAACGATGTAAAAATCACTAAGTGGGAGTGTTAGAGCTGAACAACATAACGACCAGACCTTTAAGTCAGTAGCAGAATGGGGGCGAGAGGGGCAGAAACAGGAAACTGGACAGGAAAGAGATCAGTTGAAAGTATCCAATCTGAGCAGCAAAAAGAAGGAAAAGCTAGCAAAAAATGAGAGCCCACAGGAGGGACCCACAAGGCAGAAGGCCCAACACGCGTGCCATCGGAAACTACAAAGAAGACGACAAACATCGATCTGAAGAAATAATGAGTAAAGACTGTCAAAATACGGCAAAAGGTACATACCTGCAGATTCAAGTCAAGCAAACCCCAAACTTAAGTGAGATCCACATCATACCCAAATGCAGAAAAGTAAAGACAGAAAACCGTCTTGAAGGCCACCAGAGGGAGATAATGGTTCATCTGAAACCATGGAAGCCGCAAGGAAACGGCACCAAAGTTTTCAAGTGGCAAAAAAAACCATCACCAACCCTAATTCTGTCTATGTCAAGAGAAAACATCCTTCATGAATGATGGTGAAGTAAAATTTCAGGTGAAAGAAACTGGAGCATGTGACTCCTCCAGGTAGCTCTTGGGAGGAAAATGAGACCAGAAGGAAACTTGCAACAAGAGGGATGAAGGAAGAGCAGTAGGAACGGTGACCACAATAGGCTATTCGCTAGCCTTCTGTCAAATGCTGACAGTGGACAGGAAGAAGGACAAGACCACTGTCTGCTGGGGTTCTCTGTGCATGTCGCTGTGAGACGGGGGCGGGGGGCAGTACAAGATCCCAACTAAAGGAAAGTAAGTTCCTTAAAAGTTACTTGTTAAAAGTGCCATCGAGTCAGTGGCTAATAGGTTCAAATTGACCTTGCATTCCAGTGCTTACCCTACAGAGCCATACCAGACCCCTTCACTAGCCCGGTGCTGTTGTGGTTAAGTGCGGGTTCCAACCCACAGCGACCCTGGATAGGATTTCCGAGAGGCGGCTAGTGAGCTTGACCTGCCGACCTTGAGGTTCAAGCCAAACTTGCAGCTCCGCACATTAACCTCAGCGCCACAACCACTTACAACACTATTGTTGTCATTGTTAAGTACCGTGGAGTCAGTTCTGACTCATAGCGACCCTGCACAGG